TTGGAGAGGAAAATCCACTGGCTCTCCTTTCCTTGGTGTGTACGTCTGTGGGATCGATCCAGTTTAGGGTTTAGGGTTTAGGGTTTGGGTTTAGGGTTTAGGGTTTAGGGTTTAGGTTTTGGGTGTAGGGTTTAGGGTTTGGGTTTAGGGTTTAGGGTTCAGGGTTTAGGCTTTGGGTTTAGGGTTTAGGGTTTAGGGTTCCGGCGTTACGCGCAACAGGTTCCGGGGTGGGTTTGGGCGTTGTGTTGCGGAGTCTGGGGCTGTCAGGGGTTCAGTTCTGGTCTCCCTGCGACGTTGGCTTGTGGTTCTAGGACGGAGGATTCGAGTTTAGAGTCTAGGCCAGCTCAGGGCAACGACCCCGTATCGCATCGAACGAGCTTTGGCTGCCTTCCACTGCAATGCCGATCCCCCGATTCTCTATCTTTTTGTTCCCTGGAAGAAGTATCCCCAGCATCCCAGACGATGTTCAAGCTGCAACCCATCCTGGACTGTACGTGGGGTGGCATTGTTAATTCCTGATGTGTAGAGCTCAGGGTGTAAGTGGGCAAGAGATCATTGCTAAGCATGATGCAGCATCGCCATCTTGATACCGTGACAACAGATTGCATTACCCTGATAAGGAAGATCATAAAAGCCATCTTGTCATCATCTTCATCATCACCATCACCATCATCCTGCATATATGCAGAATGTCAGAATGTTAACCTGTTCAGAGCACTGCGCAGCAATCATCATCCTCGTCCTATTGTGTCGGAGGCAAGGGTTCAGGGGCGGTGTCATAAAGTTTCCGAACGCAAGATGCCCTGGTTAGTAGCGTACAACTAACCTCGCTGTGAGCTTTGATCCTTTCAGATGTTGATCCAGTAGCGTACAATGTTCAAGGGTGCAATCAATACCGTAGATCACTACGCTACTAGTCGTGGAAGTCTTTATCCTCCAAGAGGAGTAGCCAAAAAGCTGCAGGCCTCGCTGGATGCTCAGTCGCGCGCCGCGCCCTTGACATTCAGGAGACCTCACGGTGCTCATTCAGTATCCACGGCCATATACGTGTAGATCTAGAGCTGCGAGCTTCATTCAGTATCCACGGCCATTGCATACGTGTAGATCTAGAGATGCGAACTGCACGGACAATAGGAGGGAACTCCTGTGATGCACGCAGCCCTAGCAGAGCTCAAGTGCAAAGACTCCCTTCCGGAAGACAAGGCAGTGTCCCCGACCATGCCTCCTTCAAAGAAGGCGATCCCCGCGAAGAAGGACATCGATGCCCCAGGCCTCGGAGATCTTCCGCCATCGTCGTTTGACCCCAACATCGAACACTTCAAGATGATCGAAGCATCTATCAACGAGATCAAGGCCCATCCCTTGTTCGGACCGCACATCGACCAGATGGACCCCTTGCCCCTGGTTCCTGCGGATAAGGATGATCTGGCAGGGTTCCTGGCGCCGCTGGATCGCGAACAGATGAAGCTGTCGCGCGAGAGTGGTTCGGAATACTTCTGTGGCGTGAACCTTCTATGGGGCAATCCTCTAGAATCCATCACGCCGGGCGTTCCTATCATGGCTAAAGCCGTTGCAGACCTTGTCCAGCGTCTGTTGAAAAGGGGGCCCAAGATTTTGGAGGATCGTCTGGAATTTGTCTTTCCTGGCCCGGCAGACATGAGATGGCGCAGATGCTCTCCGGAAGAGTGCCCCGAATGCATCCAGCCCAGAACGTGGTAAGAACAACTCCACACTTTCTCCCCTAACAGAAAACGGAAGCCCTCCCAAGCCAACCATGCTGAGGCAGCAGCATGCCGTCATCATGGCCGTCCACGAAGCCATCCTCACGGGTGCACCGGACTCTCAGCTGCTGGAATGGAAGAGGGTGCTACTATCCTGCCCCGCCAACTTTGTGCACCTCGCCACGGAGCAGGAGGTCTACTTCTACACGACCAACAAGCGCTTCAAAGCCGAGGCCGACCACCGTGCCATCACCCACAAGACGACCCAAATGATCTTCGATGTGTGGAATTTCAAGGCCAGGACTTCTTAGCAGTAACAAACAGTCTTTGATCCAGGTTGTAAGACTAGAGCCCAAGGTAACCGACGGGGCCATGTTTTGCGTAATAAACACTAACCCTGACGGCCTGGTAACCTCCCTGAACTCTCAGCCTGAAAACGCGAAACCCAAGACCCTAAGCCAAACTCTTTTTTTTATAGTACAAGGCTCTCCCTTCACGAAGCCCGTGCGCAGGTCAGGAAGGAGGTCTACACGGGCGCGCTGAGCGCGGACGACGTCGCCACGTTGTATGGCAAGAACTTGATTCAAGTGAATCGTCGCAGCGGCGGTGGAAACAGTCAGGATGACAAGGACCGCACCAAGCCTGGAACGATCAAGGCCTGCATCCATGTGTATGAAAAGATGCTCACACACGAGGCCTTGCGCCAGATCGTTTTGGCCGCCGAACAGGACTTCCTGGACAGCTCTCCTTTTGCGGGCGTCTACAAGCTCCAGGAGATGTGCAGGCTGTGCAAGGACAACGTGTCCAAGTTGGAGTGGTTGCTGGGCGCGGCCTACCACCGATTCAGGGCAGGGACATTGCACGATTTCAGCCTGCGAAATCTTGCGACTGCAGGCACCAAGCAACATGCCCTCGTGCTCCTGAAGCAGCGCGAGATGAAGATATGGCTACTGGGCCCTTTCCTGGATGCCAGGAACATTCTGTCCGAATGCAAGTCCAAGCTGCGTGAAGTCTTTGCCAGCAGAGATTCGTTCATGAAGCTGTTGCGACCGGTGGAGGAGGAGGAGCAAGAGAACATCGATGTGAGTTGGCAAGCAACTTGGCCCAAGTCGGCTCTGCTGACACTGGAACTTCTGGAGATATCCTCTTTCAGCGTAGACACGAATGAGGAGAGCACCGTCCGCCTTGGCATTAAACATGGCAAAAGCGGGCAGGAGCTGCTTGAAGAGTATTCTCCCTTCAAGGAGAAGATTCAGGAGATCGACGCTTGCCTGAAGGAGGAGCTCAAGGCCATCAACGATGCATCGAAGTCTCAGGGAGGCGATTCCGAGCCGGACCAGCCACCGAACATTCCGAACCCGTCCGGAGCAGGCCCGTCCAGAACTTCCGACATGGACGAGGCCATGGCGGAAGGCATGGATCTGGAGAGCAAGCGCCTGGCTCACGCCAAGCGGATCATGTCCTCCTACCTCGTGCTTGAGTCTGAGGAGGACAAGAAAACATCTGGAGCCCTGGCGTCCGCGCTCAAGAAGCACAAGCTGGTGCAAGTGGACACCGCGAGCATGAGTGGGAATCTGATCATTGCGCTGGACGTGAATGCGTGGGGGGAGGCAATCACCGCCCCCCACATCCGCCGACCCCCGATTCAGCAGGCCATCCTGAAAAAGATCTTCGAGGCTATTGGGCTTGCACGTCGCGGAGTGTCGGCCTGGACGACAATGGCCCCTGGCGAGATTGTGATTTGCCTGAACGGAGGGCGCACGAACAACAGCTTCCTGTCCAAGCTCATCGGTGTTGGTCCGGGCGTGGGTCGTTCCAAGTCTCGTGGAAGCAACATCATGTGGCGTGAGATCACAGCTACCTTTACCCCGGAGTCCGTGCAGACCCGGCGGGTTCGCACCTCCAGGAAAGCTTTGGCGTCCCTGAAGTGCTCGCAGAAGATGTTTTGGTGGTTCGATGCGGGCACGGATATCCCGGTGAAAGCCCACAAGCACTGTCAAGGCCAGGCTGTACACTGAACACCCTAGCTAAGAATTAAACCCCATCTCTGAGTTCAAGACGCAACCCTGAACCCTGCTACGTGGAAGCATGCCCTGCACAGGAACCAATGCCTTCGATCTCATGGGTCCGTTCACCCTGGAGCCTTGGAAGAGCCTTCCCTCGATTCCCTACGGGGACAAGAAGCACCTGTGGGGCAGGAGACGAGCTGCAGTAGGCGGGAAGACGGCAACAGGCGAGACGGATGATGAAGGCGCGGCCGAAGACAAGGACGAGATTGCGGCAGAGACCGGTGCTGTGGATGAGGAAGAGATTGAACTCCCAGACGTTGGGAGTGGCCGCGGAAGCCACAAGACGCTGGCTCCCACAGTTTTGCAGCCAGTGGTCTACCATGAGATGCCCGTGACGCTGTGGGAGTCCGCGATGCACGCCACCAGTGCCGCCCATATCATCGACGTGACACCCGGATCAGGACGCCTGGCCGCTTGGGCAGTGTGCAACCGTCTTGGGTATGTGGGCATAGCATGCACACAGGAGCACATGGAGTACATCGAGAAGACTGTCATGAAAGAGGTGCTTGCCGCCTTGTCCAATCCGGGGTCCGGACTCTATGCACCTACGCTGGCTGACAAAAACATCGAGCAGAAGGCCAAGGAGGAGACCAAGCGCAAAGCGGAGGAGGAGAAAAAGAACAAAGCGGAGGCCGCGGCGGCAGCCAAGAAGCGCAAGGAGAATGAGAATCAGGGCGGACAGACGGAGACCAAGAAGCCCAAGAAGGACGAGGGCTCTGGTGTGGGAGCCGGCACCGGCACCGGCGCCGCAGGCAGCCAGGGGGGAACAGGTGGACTTAGCCTTGCTTTGCAAGCAATGCTAGACAAGGCGAAGAACAAGGACAAGGACACCGCCAGCGGCTAGGCTAGGCTGTAGATTAGAAAGATAGATTTTCGAGTGTGCGAGCAGCAGCCCGCTGTTGTGCAGCCCACGCTGAGGTCCCTATTGTCAGAGGCCTCTTTTCTTGGGCTGCCACGAACCTTAAAGCTACTCCATGTTACACTACACTCATGCTAGTCACTCGTGGTTCTTGCATATATGTTTAGTCCCCCATCTCCCGCCATCGACGAGATACACATGGCACCGACTCGTAGTTGGTACACATCAGTTTGGAATTCTGCACTCTGACAGTCGCAAGCCACATCGTCTGTGGCAGCTGCACGCTGACACTCCTAACACCTCGCACGTTCTCGGGAGTACTGGTGGTGATACGCGCTGATTAGTACCATCCTTAGCAGCCAAGGCTGGTAAGGCAGCACAATCTCCTGCAAGATCTGTGGAATGCTCCCCAGAACCATGGTGCTGCCCAAAACCAAGGCTGACTGTAGCCGCACGTTCTTGGGAGTACGGGTGATGATACTTCTGATTTGTACCATCCCTAGAAGCCTTAGCAGCACAATCTCGTGCAAGATCTGTTGCATTGGCATACTCCCCAGAACCATGGTGCTGCTCAGAAGCATGGCTGACTGTAGCTGACTGCAAAAAGAAGACACGGTGCAGACGGTCTCGAAACCCGTAGACCCACAAGCGATTCTTGTTGCGCACCGACGAGGTCAAACCGCTGGGGGCTGTGACAAAGACTCGGAAGGCTGGAATGCTGTGGGTATGGCCAAGTTTGTCAGTACAAGCACAGCATAGCCATGTCGGGGTTTAGGGTTTAATGTTTAGGATTTAGGCTTGGCCTGCACAGTGTAGAAACCAGGGATAACATTAGGGAAAAAGCACAAACTCTCGCCCTACATCCTGAAAGACCTGGTGCAAACCACTGTCCTCCGGTGAGGTCACCCACCGCGCGCAGAAGAACCTGAAGGCGGAGAGTGCTAGGTAGCTTTGATGAGTCAAGGCACATTACATGAATGAGATAAGAGTACCAGGACCCTCCTTGCACTTGGACCCTCAAACAGGAGAATATGGTCTCTGAGAATGGGCATTTGGGGTCGAATAAAGGCTGGGTTTCGGCTCCAGCTAGGAAACCCATGGATCCGACACCTATATACTACCGCGATAGAATCTATCGCGGTGCTTGTCCCTTGTTCAACCATTGGCTTTCCTGCGAGCCCCGTGGGACCAGAAGTCTTGGCGAGGGTTTCGTACTGCGGGACGCAGTTCAGAAGCAGCTTTTAAACCATTGGGGGTTGTTGGGTCTAGAGTTTCGGCTTCATATCATGATAGCCGTGAAGTCCAGGTCCCATTTTCGCCACAAGCCCTAAACCCCAAGCGGCTGCAATCCCTGAGATTGGCCCGAATGTCCCGAGGGTTTAGGGGTTTAGGGTTTCGGGTCTGGAGTCTATTGGACCCTGTGAAGTTAACCTTTTTCCTAACCCGAGGTGGAAGAAGCAAATAGATCTTTTGGAGTGGGCCGGGGCCCCGAGCGTGTGGCACTTCTTGTGACAACCTCCTTGATTTGAAAGAGTTGCAGATGTCTTTTCCTGGCGGAGCGCACGGGCACAAGAAGTTGATTCGATCTCGCTTGTTCCTCTCAAAAAGGCTATATGTGTATGTCTGTCTGTCTATCTATCATTGTATGTGTCTCCCTCTCTCTGTCTGTCTCTCTCTCT